CGCACGTGAAGGGGGGGGGAAAATGAGCAAGTGGGTTTTTTTAGTTAAAATGCATTCATTTCTAGTGTCCGTAATGCGTTTGGGTTTTTATCCTTCTGCATTCTGTTTCCACTCCGATATGGAAGTATTGCATAATTTAGTGTCACCTTTTTGGCATTGGTGATGCCGAGTGCTCTGGGTAGAGAGTGTGCCTGTGGGGACAGGGGCTGATGAATGCAGAGAGCTCTGCTAGTCACCTCTGAAGCGTGGTGAGGTAAGGATTGCTGTGGTGGCTCCAAAGCAACAGCTGATCTAAGCGGGGGGGAAAAAAAAGGATTACTAGAGGGCAAGCCAGTGAAAAATGTGTATGAGGAAGAAAAGAGGACACTGATTTGTTGTGTATTGGAGTAGAAAAATATTTCATTCAGCTATACAAAGTTTGGTGAAGGTTTTCTCTGAAGGGCTTAATTCGATGTAGTTCATTTGAAATAATGAATTGTGATCTCTTAGGGTAAAATGGGTGTCGGTGAGTTGCACTGCTGCTGTGGGAATCGATTGTAATAGAATAATTGGCCTATAGACATTTTTTTGTAAATTCTTTTAATATAGAATAACTGGAAGATGATTGAGGGCACATCAGAAATGGAGCCACTAGGTACTGACCGGGCCCCGAGTCCCCCGAGGGGTCTGTGTAGGCGGAACTCCGGAGTGGCCTCTGAGCAGGCCCAAGAGTCATATGTAAGTGACTGTGGGATGGGTTAAAAGGTGAAATAACTTTTATGCAAAACACCCATCTTTTAAAATATGTATTATTTCTTCTTACTTGGTTTTTCTGTGACATAGCTCACCAAGATGCTGAGGTTATAGATGCATTGCAGCTGTCACTGAAGCCAGCAAACCAAGGCTTCTAATTAGGTGTTGCTTCTCCCTTTAAACGTATCCCTACTCACCCAGTATGACACTTAAGATTTGAATTTTAGTATTTCTTTCTTGTATTTCTGAGTAGTTAGAGATTTAATATTCCTTGCCCAGTTTTATGAATGCATATTGTATACTATTGGCGAGTGATCTATTTCAGATTATAAATAACATAGGAATAATGCTTATGTTAGAATTTCACTATTTACTCATTTTCCAGAATATTAAACCTTATTTTCTATCATGTGAATGTGTATGCATTTTAAATTTATTCTAAGTGAGATAACTTAAAGACTACTTAGACACTATCTTTAGACATTTCTAGTTTATAAACATTTTCCTGAAATAGTATATTTATATGCCTAAGTATGTGTGTATATATATGTAGAAATTGTTTTAAAATTGTTTTCTATGCTTATAACATCATTAGAGGATTCTTGCTGTTGGCATGTTCTTAGAACATGAGTAACAACAGAACAAGAGCAAAACCCCTGTCTAGAAAATCTTAGGAGTAGGTAGTCTTAAGTTCCAAAGAGCTTGTTTATCAGACGTCTCGTCTGTTGAAGCTGCAGGGAAAAGATGTGCCAGATTTGTGGCAATTTTTTTTCTTTATGTAGATTTATTAGGACGAAAACAAATTTAAATACAGAACTAGGGGAAGATGATAAAGGGGAGTTGATAGGAGAAAGAAGGAATGAGGATAGGTGTGGAAAAGAGCTGTTCTGAAAAGACTGAGTAAGATAAAAAAGTTGTAGCAAAAACCTGATTGTTAGAAGGCACCCGAAATGTTGAGCTCTTGTACTCATTACTTTCATTTGTGTCTCCAGCTAATGCTGTGCTTCAATCATTCTTGAGTATTAGTGCTTGAGCTGATCAGATTGTGACGTTATGTGCCATATGTGCTGGCAGAAAGCATTACAGTGGGACAGACCAAAGATGCAGCTTGAGCTCTAATCTTGAGTTTCCCAGCTGTTCTTTGCTTTTTAATTATTATTATTTTTAATTATGCACATACATACACGCATACCACTGAATCACAGAAAAACTGATCCACTTCATAGGGGGTGATGTAAGCCTATGTATATTTATATATATTTCATTATAGTGTTAGAGTGCTGCTTATGTTTTTGGCAGCATAATGTTTGTAAGAGAAGTCTGAGCTCATCAGGCTAAAAAAAAATCAATTAAGTGAAAATCTTTTCTAGTAGGTTTCCCATTCTTTTCTAGCCATTTGTGTATCTCTGACACCAAAGGCACACTAAGTATTTTCATATTGTATGAGCTTATGAGTGTACTTCAACTCATCTCCAGAAGTTCAGTATCCAAACTATGTTGGGGTATTATATTTTATTTTTTAAACAGGACCCCAAAAGTGCTTTTACTAGTCCCATATCAAATACAGAGAGTGCCAATCATCCTTTATCCTGGTTTCTATGGGCAATATCAGTAAAGTAAATGAAGTTGTTAGAATTGTCAAAGGCTTTACGTTCAGGACGAACCTGTTCTTTTAAAATACAGTGGAAAATGGAGGACAACTTCTTGCAGATACTAGATATTACGTAATGTCTTTGCAGTCTTAAGCAAACTACTGAGTATTATGCTCATTTTCCCATCAATAGAATATATAAATAATTAATTTTAAGACAGTCTTGAAGCTGTGTAGGGTGGCTTTCTGTTTAGACTTCAGTCCAGTAGATACAGCTGAAAAGAAAGCTGGGCTTTTTGGTCTTCCTTTCTTCAAAGGGAGCCTTACTCTGCATTTTTCTAGTAGTTTTCTGAGGGGGAGTCTCAGTATAGCTTTGCCTAAGTTTTACTTTGTCTTTTGTCAAGGAAGTTAATTTATATAAAAACCACCAGTGCCATAAAACATAAAAGAGAAATGCAAATGCATTAGGTGAGGTTGAGAATTAAGATGTTAATACTAAACTGATAGTTAAATTTGTGTTGATTTTTTGCCTTTGGTTTATAAGGGTAGGGTTGAATTTTTTTCTGGGAACAAAACTCCATATCCAGTTGCCAAAAGGGGAAGTTGAAACAGCACTAAAATGTAAGGAAAAAACATCTTTCCTCAAGTTCTGGCTTTGGATTTGTGTGTCTGTCTCCTTCCTTTCCTGCAGCAAAGCTTTCTGCAAGCCAGGTTTTAATTTGTTCCTTTGACTTCACTAGCTGAGAGTGGGTGCATGATCTCTGGGTGTGTCTTTCATGAGACCCATCAAAATACTTGGTGATTGGACTCTTCTGTGACTAAAATGAGACTTAAAACCAGGCATTATAAAAAAGAAGTTAGGCCATTTCATCTGGCACAATTTGGTCTCTGTTGTTCCAAAATAAACTATGCTGCTATAATCAAATGCTTTCCTAGTCAAATATTCTGGAGAAAACTTACTTGGGAAAAAAAGCTGGCATTCAGCTGTGAGGAAGATGGAAAACTTGGGGATTTAGACAGTGTAACATATTAATGTCTAATTTTTTGTATCCCTTCAAGTTCATTATCATTGGTTTATGAAGATCAGTGAGAAGTTTCACTAATTCTATTTCACTATTCACTAATACTTGAGTATTAGTCTTTTCCCCTCTTGTCCAGTAAATAAGTAATTTATTGTTAATACTTTGAGGCTCTTACTTAGATTATTCAAATTTATTATATCTGTTCTTTGATTTCTTATTACCAGTTTCTGTGCATCTTTCATAACATGAGATAGATAACTAGCTTGTGGACTCCAGTTTTCCAAGGCAGAGGTATCTGGAGACTGTATCATCTCTTCACCTTGTCATCTGTGGAAGCTGCACAACCTGCAGCTGGTCATCTTTCAGCATTGTAGTTGCTAGATTTCTGCAGAAACAAATGTTTGTGTGAGGGAATTAAGAAGTATTTTTATTGCCCCTTTTGAATTATAAGGGAGAGCAGCTGAAGTGACTGTAACCTATTGCTGTGGGCTTCTTGCTGCTCTGTGTGGTCATCTATCTCCCTTTATTCTTTCTGATCACTGTTACTCCACTGTCTCTCCTTGTTCCTGGGGGTATTGCCTCCTGCTGGCAGTTCATCACTGATACTGGCTTCTTCTCTATTCTTTGGTGCACTCTTATAATCAGTTTAAGTCAGGTTAAGACTTAATAATGAATAAGTGTTTAACTTGTGCCTGGATCAGAGGAGCGGTCTGGCTAACCACACAGCTCCATTGCGGGTGCCATGAGGTGGCTGGGGACTTGTGGCTGAGGGCAGAGGTAAGACAGATGACCCCTTTGTGCAGTAATGTGGGCTTGAATTGAACTTCTGATGTGAAATCACACTCCTGTAGCCACTAGCTTTTTTTTGAAGAGCTCCCGATGAGGCAATGGTACATGGCTTGGCTGTGTTACAGAGTTTCTTCCCATTCACAGATAGTTTTCAGCAGATCAACTTGGGAGCTACAGCTGTAAAGTCTTTTTAAGGTTTTTTAAAAAAGATGAGCAGCTTCTGCTTTAAGTTGGACTTAAGGAACCATGCAAGACTTATCCAGAAGCAGAATTTATTTTAGGTTTTCTAAGAGAAGTACATGCTACAAGTCTCATATCCTTGGAGGAATTCTGTTGCAAAGGAGCTTGGATGTTGTATCCATGGGAGCTTTAAACAAGCTGACTGCTGGCAGCCAGGGCTGTGGCCTGTCACTGCCCCAGCTGCATCTTCCTGCTTTTCCTTTCTGCTGGCTGGAGAGCTCATTAGACCACTGAGCCACTTAAACACACAAGTTGGTGGAAAAGCTAACCCTGTGACAAAGTGAGGAGTGCAAAGGGGGGGCCAGGGACACAGCTGGAGGCAGGTGAGTGAATGGGACTCTGCAGTCAGCAGTCGGGCTGGCTTAGGCCACCTTGGGTTTGCAGCTTTAGATTCTTCATAAAGCGTAGAGACAGAAATCAGTGTCCTTATGAAGGAAGAATTAAAACCCCTGGCTTAATTATCGTACACTGCTTCAAAAGTGGGGTAGGGGGAGATTGCATTTTTAGTGTTGTGCTTTTTGTATGTGTTAGAAACATTTATGTGTAAAATCTTTAGATAATGACATAGGAACTGGCTCATTTTTATGCTCTTTGAACTTCACTGTTTGCATTTCAGAAAGGAATATTTCACATATTGCAGGCTTGGTAAGCACAATACTTTCATACTGCAGGAGGATTGATTTCCTGGCAGATTTGTTTATCTGGGCCCCTATATATGAATAAGACAGAAATAAAAAAGATGCAGATGCATTGTTAGGTCTTAATTGTGGCTTCATAATTGACCTCTTAAAATCAGTTTCCTAATCTTGTCTATTTAATTGTTGTAATGCTACAATATTCTCTCCTATAAAACTATTTATATTTATATAGTTTTTAATAGCCAGTATTCATTAACCACACATAAAATAAGATACTGATCATAGCTAAAATTCTCTCTTCCCTTTTAGGCTGCCATCATGACGGCTGAAGAAACAGTGAATGTTAAAGAAGCTGAAATAATTAAACTAATACTAGATTTTCTGAACTCAAGGAAACTTCATATCAGTATGCTGGCACTTGAGAAAGAAAGCGGGGTCATTAATGGCTTGTTTTCAGACGACATGCTTTTTCTAAGGTAGGACTTACTTCTCTAATGCTTAAATAATACCACATATATGAAAACATACAGTTGGGCTGTGATTCAGTGGGTAGCCCCACGCCACTAAACAGGAGGTCTTATGCCCTCATCTTACTCTACCTCTTCCTGATCCCAATTCTGTGGTCCAGCCCTGCACTGTGTTCCAGCTCTGAAGTTAATAACATCCTTCTGTGAGCCATTTGAAGTAAGCAACTAGGCATCATCAGCACAGGTTGAGTTAGATTCTTTGATTGCTTGTTCATTCATTTTAACTCAATTATTTTTCTGGCATGCTAATGAATTCAAGTGGGAAGGAGTCTTGACAAGTGTCAGTGCAGGGTAAGTTGGGGAAAGCACATGAGCAAGAATAGGGTGGGAGAGCAAGATCTGTTGGAATCGGTGATCTGTTAATATCTGCTTACCATGCCACATGGAACTGAATGTGTAGTTTATTGAATTCTAAAATAAATAAAATATTTTGACAATTTTCTAGTGCTAAGACCTAGGATGGGTAGAATGGTTTCCAAAGCTTTTATCAAAAAAATGTTATCTGCATTTCAAAATAATACCTAGATTTCTTTTAAATTTAAAACAATATGAAAGGGATCTCTCCTGTCATCAAGGGATGAGAGTTGGTATGATTTACCATTGAGGATATTGCCCTCAAGCTTATTAAAAGGTGTCACTGTAGATGCAGACTAGTTTTTTTAGCATTGCTGTTTTCTATTTCATACCAAAGGTACTTAATAACTTTGTAGAAGCATGAGAAATTAATTTATCCAACTGTTTTTAAAACATTAAAAAATATATTTTTATCACTGAACAACATTTCTGACCTTGCTTCCCTTTTGATTAAAATTACGGATATTGGAATAAAGTGAAATCACAGAATGGTGGGGGTTGGAAAGGACCTCAGGAGATCATCTTCTCCAACCCCCCTGGTAAAGCAGGTTCACCTAGAGCAGGTTGCACAGGGAAGTGTCCAGGCGGGTTTTGAACATCTCCAGAGATGGAGACTCCACAGCCTCTCTGGGCAGCCTGTCCCATTGCTCAGACACCCTCGCAGTAAAGAAGTTTTTCCTTAAGTTTGTGTGGAAATGAAAAAGAAAGATTAAAATTGTTAATCGTATTTGTTTGTTTAATTCTTAGCTCAGTTGGAGTATACATCTAATGAGAAACTCACTCCTTCCTTGTAGATCTGGGCCTTTTATAGAGAACTCTGTGTGTGATATGAGGTTATGAAGAATTGGAGCTAGGTGGAACTAATCCATCTGTGCAGTCCAGCCCACTGGTCTTGGAGTTAGAGCTCTTTGGCTGACATAGTTCTTGCCAAGCTATTCCTCTCAAGTTCTCCATATGGGAGCTGTGTGTTTACACACCCCCCTTATAAAATAGGCCCAGTATTTATGCAATTAAAAACAACTGATTTTTAAGTTTGCTTTCATTCTTCAGGATATATTAATTGAATCAATGTATTTATTTGTACTCTTAAATAAAGACTTGTTTTCTTATTTTTTTTTTAAATAAGAATTACCAATAAAGCAGGAGACACAGGACTATTTTGTCCTTTCTGACGTGCCTTTAAGAGTAATTAATATTTGTCCTTCCAGTATGCAGTTATTTTTACAAAATAGTGAGAAAGCATTTGGATTTTGCTTTTACTACTGGTCACATCAGACAGTTATCTTGACATCTGTGCAAATCATTAATTTTTCAAAGCACTGCTGTGTACTTAAATGAGCTGCTTACTTAGAAGAAGGATGTTCTTGCCCAGTGAAATTAAGGGAGTGACTCTTTGTTTTCCTAGGCAATTGATTCTTGATGGTCAGTGGGATGAGGTTCTTCAATTTATTCAGCCTCTTGAATGTATGGAAAAATTCGACAAGAAAAGGTAAAATAGAATGTGTTTCAAGTATTGGAGTTGTGGAAAAAACATTAATTTCTAAGTATTGTGTATTAAAGCAGTAGTTCTAAGTTTTTCATCTTATTTTTTTTTTTCTAACCTGTATACAGTTCTGAAAGTGTGTGCATATGATTTTTTTAACTTAAACTATGAAAAATATGTGCACACAATCTGTAATGAGTTTTCATTTGCCATACACTTTAGGAATACTGTGCATGTTGTACTCTGTCCTCATAATTGTAGAAGCATGAGAAATTAATTTATGCAACTGTTTTTAAAACATTAAAAAATATATTTTTATTTTATATTTTTATTTTTATATTTTATATTTATATTTTATATTTTATGCTCTGTCATATTTCTAATCAAGAAATGAGTATGATTGCTACACTTTTTTTATTAGCTGTCTAATATTTTTAATGTAATATTTCTGAAAGCAATAATTGAAAAAGACATCTCCTGTTAAAAATAATTTTGTGGTTACCAATCTGTTAAAATTTGAGATCAGAGTTCACTGTCATTGCAATTTCTATGCCCAACTTAAAAATTTGCTGTAAAATACCCTGCTCATCTCTAAAAGAATGTTTAGCTACTGGATCAAGTTGTATAGCATTTCACTTCTCACCTGCAGGTTCCGTTACATTATAATGAAGCAGAAGTTCTTGGAAGCCTTATGTGTAAACAATGCGATGTCAGCAGAAGATGAGCCTCAGCATGTAAGAATTGTATCTGGTTTGGGATTTTTTTTACTGTCAGGAAGCCTCTTGAGATATCCTGATTAAATGCAGAGCAGAAGCTCCCAGCACTAAATTTTAGCTATTACCAAATAGTTTCAGAAACAATGGAAAAAATAATTGGTATCCTTTGGAAATGAATGTGGCTCCCAGGTCTTAAGGGCTGCTTGAAACCTTAGCTCAGTGACCATATGCTGTGTTTGTGGTCCTGATACTGATACTTACTCTAGGCCATTATGCTAAAATGCAGGGCTTTTTCTTTCAAAGGTCTCAGAATCACAGAAATTTATTATCATAAGTGGGACCAGGTGAAAGATTCTCATTTGAATTAATCTTAAAACTTAATTTTTGTTGCTTTTAGAGAGAAAAGACACAGTTGTTTCTTTGGAGGGAACAGATGTGTTCACAAAGGACTGATTCAGTTAAATGTGCAAACAGCAGGAGTTGTGAACTTGGGTTTTCAATATGGAAAGAGACATTAACTTAGAAGGTGTTCAGATTGTGAATTTAATTATGGTTTTTAATTTATATTGATAATACAGGAATACCAAATTTCTAACATAAAAATGTTATGAAATTTAAAATGAAGAATGTCAGTAATTTTAAGACAATTTATTTCATTTTCCAAACTGAATTGATTTTAATTCTCTGTCCTATTACACATATGTTGTACTGCGGAGTCTTCTCTTGACAGTGTAGAGAGAAAGCTAAAAGTCTCTCTTTATAGTTGTACAGGGAAGGTTTACTATTCCTCTAATCAGTCAGTGTAAACTGTTAGTAGATAGCACTGCAGGAAAATAAAAATCAGATTTATCCTTTATTTTTTGTTTTGAATGTTACCAAATGTGTTGGCACACTGTGGATGAAAGGCCGCTGTATTGAGCAGATGCTAGGTAACGCGCGTTAAGTGCTGGGTTTTATTTTTTTTTTTAATCTTTGTACTAAAAATGCCAAGTTATGTGTATTTAACATGGTTCTTGGCTTTTAACTATCAACAAGCTTTGTATGAAAGCTTTCTATTCATTTGGAGGTCTTCTAAGAACTTTTTGAACTTTTTAAACATTTTTTGACTGAAGAACAGAAAATCTGAGTATAAAAGCCAACTCAAAGTTGCTAATCACTGGAAACTACAGATGTCTACACGCCTTTTATAACTTGTGCCAGTAGCTTTTGATAGACATAAAAAAGGGGAAAATAAGTCAGCTGGCTCTGAGAATGGAAGCAACCTTCTGTGCTACAATAGAATTGAACCGATTTAGCTACAGATTTAAGATTTTAAGCCTATCGAACCTGCAGTGACATGAAAAAGTTCCATAGATCGGTAGAAGATGGGACTGGGCGGGGGATTTTAGGAAATCAAAGCTTCCAGGAATTTATCTCTGCTGTAACTACATTTGCATCATCAGACTCAGACGCTATATTGTATGCTGTTTTAATTAAAATATAAACAATAAGAGTAATAAAGGAATGTTAGCAGGGAAATTGTGCTACTCTCTGGTCTTTTTCAACTAACTTTTATTGTAGAAACGTATGTACCACAAACTACTCTCTTAATATTTCTGTAGCTGGAGTTTACAATGCGAGAGGCTGTCCAGTGCCTACATGCGTTGGAAGAATATTGTCCCTCTAAGGAAGACTATAGCAAACTCTGCTTGCTGCTGACGCTGCCTCGCTTGACCAACCACGCCGAGTTCAAGGACTGGAATCCCAGCACTGCTCGGGTTCACTGCTTTGAAGAAGCCTGCGTCATGGTGGCAGAGTTTATTCTTTTGATAGGAAACTGAGTGAGGCTGGCTTCAAAGCAAGTAGCAATCGTTTATTTCAGCTTGTAATGAAGGGATTGCTTTATGAATGTTGTGTGGAATTCTGTCAGAGTAAAGCAACAGGAGAAGAAATCACAGAAAGTGAAGTATTGCTGGGCATTGATCTCTTGTGCGGTAATGGGTGTGATGACTTGGACCTTAGCTTATTATCATGGCTGCAGAATCTGCCAGCTACTGTTTTCTCATGTGCTTTTGAACAAAAGATGCTTAATATTCATGTTGATAAACTCCTCAAGCCTACAAAAGCTGCTTATGCTGATCTTTTGACACCTCTTATCAGCAAACTTTCTCCTTATCCATCATCCCCAATGAGGCGGCCTCAGTCAGCAGATGCTTACATGACCCGCTCCTTAAACCCTGCCTTAGATGGGCTGTCATGTGGATTAACAAGTCATGATAAGCGAGTCACAGACCTTGGGACCAAAACTTCTCCAATGTCGCACTCCTTTGCTAATTTCCATTACCCAGGAGTACAGAATCTCAGCCGAAGTCTCATGCTTGAGAATACTGAGTGTCACAGCATTTTTGAAGAGTCACCTGAGCGGTAAGTGCAACTGTAGCTTTATTTTACCTTGGCTTATGTTGCACTTTGTACACTGGGTTCTTACCTGCACTGTAACTTTGAACATAATTGTAACACTGAAACATAATTTGCTTGTTTAAATTCTGTTGTCATTAAAACTCTGTATACAAGGTGTTTTCTTTCTTACGCTTTTATGATAAAAATAGATTTTCATATTTGATCTTGAGCCCTGTGGATTCAATGTGGACTCCTTAAAGTTGAAATCCTAGCAAGAGGCATAAATATGCTCTGATTATGTAACAGAATATAGCTAAGATTTGTGTATTACTGAATTCTTTCATTGCAGGTGAATAAATAGAGACAGTGGAACAGCTGTAATGCCATCTTCTTTCCCCATCCCATTCTGTCCTCATGTGTCTGTAAATCTTGGTCCTGACACTGTAACTGATTAAGTATACTTAAAAATTTACATATAGAAATAGTCCCAGTGAAGTCAGTGGAAATTAGTATATATGCTGTCATTGTAGCATTCCTCTATCACTTAAATTGTTACAGTAGTAGTTTGGCTTAACTATTTATGTACTGTTTTTTAAACCAAATCTGAATAAGGTGGCTTAATGTATTAAGTTTTCTTATTGGACTTGGAGATAGTTGGGTTGTGAGAGTGGTGAATGCAATTAATAACTTATTTTAATGAAGCGTAGACTTCAAGACTGACTTCTCTCCTTCCTTAAGAACTACAGCCTGTATCAAAACTTTGCACTTTTTACCTTCTGAGAGAAAAGTCCTGGTAACTAGGAGAAATGGTACTTGTCAATTAAGAGCTTATCATCATGTTTTTGCTTGGCCTTTATTTTGATCAGCAATTCTGCCCGTTTCTAAATGTTATAGCTGTGCTTCTCTAGAAAGCAGCTGCCAGCTTTTTAGGTTCTTGGAGAGCCAGGTGGGTAACTAGCACTGCACTTGGGTGCACTGGCCAGCAGAGGACACTTGCAGAGCTGGGATGTTCAATCTTGGCTGCAGTTGGTGACACTGTCTATTAGTTTTGGCTTACAGCAATATTTCTATATATTGCATTAAGGTAAAGAGCAGCTGTAACTAAACTCAATAAAAAGGAAACAAGCACTATCATACTGATGTCAGTTCACAAATGAGAATGGAAAATTTTACAGTAATGTATGTTTGAATACTTTATCTTAATGCTTCTCTTGAAAGGATCTATTTTGTTTGATTCTAAATGATCCACTTTTAAGTCTTTGGTTTTACCAGCCTCTTCACAACTAGAGTTTCTGTGGATAGCTTAAGTCTTATGGAAGTACCCCTTGTGTTACACTTTTAAAATGTGTATCTCCTGAAGATACTAATGAATTGTGAATCCAGTAATTTTACTGCTCATTTTTCAGAAGAAAATCCAATGTCAGATTAAGTGTCCAACTTAAATGACAGTATTTGCAAGGGTGGAAGCGGGAAGCTGAGCTTCATGTAAATCTGGCCCTTGCTTCCTCTTGCACATGACAAAAATATGGTATTTCTTTTGTAAATTATATTCAGCAAGCATTTATTTGTCCTTTGGTCAGCAAAGTTACTTTTGTTATTATACACAGAGATGCACAAAAATTTTAAAATAACCTCTTAAAGAGCTTCACTACAAGTCACTGAGAAAAGAAGACTTTAAAGTGACAAAATCCAAGGCTTTTAATGTGTTCTGCACACTTACTGGTTGCTAAAGCATTTTGGAAGGAGTTCCATGCACAAGTGGTTACATAATACAAGAATAACAAAACTGATATAACTGTGTAGCACTTTCAGGAATGTTCAAGCTGACAGATGTTAAACATAGTTTAAATTCAGATTGGTAGTGGTAATTCAACTAGTATTTTATAGAAGACATTAGTCAATATATCTGATACATTCCATGCACATAATTGCTTTGAAAATAGGAGATCTTTAATAACTCGTTAAAGAGTGTGTGTGTGTGTATATATATATATATAAAATTCAAGTGTAGGGATAGAAGATGTGGAATTTGGATATCCCACGGTGGTAAGGATTTTGTAAAATGTGGGAATAAAGCACACTGACTCTTTGTTAGAGGTTTTATTTTGTTTAGTGTAACCCATTGCAACTGACATTTTTTTTCCTAAGCAGTATCTTCAGTTTTATGAGACTTTAGTTGGCACACTTGTGTTATCAGATTTTACTCTAGAATGTTATCATTCTCTACTTACCAGGGGATTTTCTACTCTTAATTTTTCTCAATTAAGCTTCTGTTCTTTTCCATGTTGCTGCAAGAAGTGATACTCCTGTTGAGCCACAGCATCCCATCAACAGTGAGACTTTGTGCCAGAGTTCAGTTCCAGAAAATGAACCACTTAATGGAGCACAGAGTCAGGGATCAGCCAAACAAGAGAAAAATGAGGTAGTGGTTGTTTGTTTAAAAATAATGAGGCACTTTGAGCTGTGTTCTCATCACTTCATAATGGTTTGCCTTTGTGTTGAGAACTTCATGCATGACAATGGGTTGCTTTGAATGTTGTTTTTACTATAGTGAAAATACCATATTGCATCTTGTATAAGAAACTACATTTTTTCCCGCTGTATAAAGTTCTACTGTCATTTGAGTCTGTAATGCAGCTGATTAGTGTGCCTTCTTACGTCAGCAGTGTTGCTAAACTGTTGTGTATCCCTTAAAAAAAAAAGTGCTTTGCAGTACTCAAAGCCAGCAATGTTAGATTAAACAACGCTTAAGAATCCTCTTAGTGTTTTAGCGAGGAATCTGGCATGTAGCCTGCAATTTTTGGTGTATACACCAAGTTTCATAGGTCATTTTACATCATTTTCTGTCTAGAACACAGGGACATTAAAATGGAATAATTCCCTAGTAAATGTATTTTTGCTTTTCAGAATCCTAGAGTAACCTTTTTTTGGATTCATCTTTGAAGACTTGTGCCTTGACTATCCTTTTTTTCCTTTTTTATCCTTAACAGCAATATAGGGAAAGTGAAATAATAGTTCAGTAGGAAACAATGAAGACAGTTAGCTATTCTGTTTCTGCAGTTTTAAATATCTGTCTCTTAATTCAGTAATGATGAGTAATATTGACTCTATGGTCTGTTTTGTTTGCAGACTTCAGTTTGATTTTTCTTAAGTAAACTTTATCTCAGCTTATGACATCTATATGGTACTGAAAACCAGTCTAGTCTTGACAGGGCTGTATTCTTGCAGACTCTGGATAGTTGAGTGAGGCAATGGGGCCTATCGGAGGATTAACAAAGTCCGCCAAACTTGAGGACTTCACTCCCCTCAAGGACTTTGCTGAGTAACTTCTCTGCTGCAACAGTGTTGTGTATGCACATTGGGAATAAGAGGAGGGAGGAAAGAGTTTAGCTAGACGTGTAAAAGAGTAGGCTTCAAAAGGAAAAAGAAGAAGGGGACAGAATTTGTAGGAGAGAATTAAGACGGGAGATGCTGTGCTGGAGGTGAAGATGTTCATCAGTCTACACACACGTAGAGGAGAATGTAGTGCCCAGTCCAATTTCACCTGGTTTTGTTTTCCACATCGTAGTGGTTTATGTGTATACCTGTGCAAGTAAGAAACTCATTTAAGCTTCTTTTCATAGCTCTATTTTTGCAGTGTTCCTGGAGGGATTGAGTTATAAGCTAGAGTTTATAAAATAGGGCATCTGGGCAACATATTTTAGGTTTAGGTGTTGGTTTGGGTAATAAAGACATTGAATCCAATTGCAACAAACAAGCATCAATCATGGAAAGAAGTATAGGCAAGAATATACCTGCTGCTTTGAAGGATTATAACCCAGTGACTGGGGAATAGTTCATGTATTTGAAATGCAGAGAATAAATGCTTTCTAGACTTCTGAAGATAACTTCAGAGTTTCTAAATTGCAAGTATTCATCTCAGGAAACCTAAGGTGGCAAACATTTTACAAATGCAACAGTGCTATAAACAAAAAAAATTATTGTATCAGAGAACACAATCATTATGCAAGTATTTTTATTTAGAAGAAACACAAAGCCTCATAGTTATGAAGAAAGATCTTCTGCATGAGTTGTCTGAACTAATGCAAAGTTATGAGGATGTCCTTGCACAACTTAGAGTCACTAGATGACAAAGATGTCACTTTCAAAAACAAACAAAAAAACAACACCTGGGTTTTTTTTCTTTTACTACTTTTTTTTTTCCTACTAGTTGGTGACAGTGCAGGTTTTTTTCTATAGAAAATGCATGGCACTTCAGTGTTGATATTTTGTCCTTGGACTAAACTGCTTTTGGTTTTCTGTAGGGTATGTTTGCTTGTTCATTTTTAACTTGTTCACAGTCGTTTTATGATAGTAGCATTTGTAACTAGTGGCACAGAGAGAAAATGAGGACTGGGGAATGCAGAAGGCATTGAGTCCTTGGGAGCTGGCAGTGTGGGAAGCCAAAGATAGTATGTAAAAGGAAAGAGACTATAAGAAAGGAAGTTCAAGTATTTGTGTTTGGTCTAGAAAGTAAAGAATTTTAAAGTTAGAACAAGGCACCAATTTCAAAAGTAAGATGTAAGACTTGAATAGACCACTTCAAGGTTGGCTACTGGGAGAGGTAAATCAGCTCTGCAGACTGATGGCAGGAAGGTGACAATGTGGCAGAAAATACTAAATTTGTAGTGAAAATATGACTTGGAATTCGGAGTGTAGCTTACATTGTTTTCTGATTTTTATTTTCAGTTTCCAGTCACCTATTTGTTTTGATCTTAAGTAATACTTTGGAAGTTTTGCAGGAAAGAGGAGTCTCCTGAATTATGGCAGAACTACTTCAACAGTGAATAGCACAGGCTGGCACTGATTTCCTTTCTTAATATGTAAATTGTGTCTGGTTTTAAGGAAGAATGAAAACATTACTCCTCAGAGGAGAATCTGCTGTGCCTTTTGATGCCTGTATTGAAATAATGAATCAAAAAGTGAATATTTAGGTCAAATACCACAATTAACTATTAAATTTTCATCATTAATTTTCATTTCTTTTTAGCTTCGTGATTCAACAGAGCAGTTTCAGGAATATTACAGACAAAGACTACGTTACCAGCAGCACTTGGAACAGAAAGAGCAACAACGACAGTTGTACCAGCAAATGTTATTGGAGGGAGGTGTAAATCAAGAAGACGGAGCTGACCAGCAACAGAATCTTACTGAACAGTTTCTGAACAGGTTGGGGGGTTTTGTTGCTTCTTCCTCCACCCACTCCTATCCCTTATCAAGTTCTCATAACAACCTGGTTTGGTGGTTTGTGTTTTTTCTTGTCATTTATTATTAGATCTATCCAGAAACTAGGAGAATTAAATATAGGTATGGACAGTCTTGGAAATGATGTACAAACCCTTAGCCAGCAATGTAACGGGAGCAAAGGGAATGCATCTACCAATCCAGCAAGTAACTTTACATCGCTGCCTTCAGATGCTAGTCAGAGGACAACAGCTGATAGCCAGAATGTTAACACAAGCACTCCTCGGAAGCGTGGATCAGCTAATCAGATACCCTTTCCTGAAGAGTCCCCTGTACAGGGGAATCAAACGTAAGTTATTTGAGACTGTTCAGGACTGGAAATACCCTTCTGTTAGCACTGTGGGAGTAACTGTTTGTGTTTATTTTTAGTTACCAAGTTAAGTTGACATTGAATAGGGATATTTAGCTCATGATCGGTGTTTTCTAAATATTTTATAGATATTATAAAATCCTTTTTTGACAGCACACATGAGAAATAGTGGTTATTTGTTATGGTTTACATTTTATGTTTATTTTAAATTTCAGGTTTTTTATTGCAAATTATATATATAGTTCTTATTTTGTGTTCTACAAGTTTCTGAAAGCTTTTTTATGAAGTACAAACTAGATGCATTGAGAGAGAGGCAGGGCAGAGTGGGAACTGGACTACTTCCGTTAACTGAAGGTAGTGCTGACCTGAAAGCAACAACCACTTTTGCATGTATGTTTGTAAATATGTGTATACCTATGTATGTTATGGAATGAAAGCAGATATTTTTAACTTGCATTCACTTGTTCAATGGCTGGAGTTGCTGCAAAAATGGCAACCCCTTGTAAAAATAATAGTTTAATGATAATCAGACATGCATAACACTTGTCCACACAAATTGGTCAGTTCTGAGAATGACTGGAACTGGAACTTTAGTCAAAAAAATAATTATAAACAAATCTGTCCCTGCCCTTGTTTTTTTTTTTTTGTTTTATGTCTTGTGAATTTAAACTCTTCACCAAATCAAAACAGTGTATCAGAACATGCTGTCACTCAGCCACAGTTGGAAGACTCTTCAGGGAATTTAACTAGGACAAGGAGTGATGAGGTGAGTTTTCTTACTGTCCTTTACAGTTTCTGTTTTCACAAGATTCAGTGTTTAATCCTGAGTGTGGGACATCTTCTCATTGTTAGTAGATACTTAGAATGAATTTTGATTGACCTATAGAATCACAGAACCATTAAGACTGAAAGAAACATCTGGAGACTGAATCCAAACCCACTGCTCAAAGAAGGGTCAATGAGAGCAGGTTGCTTGGGGCTGGGTCCAGTTGGGTTTTGAGTATCAAGGATGGAGACTCCACAGCCTCTGTGGACAGCCTGTTCCCATGTCTGACCACCCTCATAGTGTTTTTTAAACAACAACAAAGTTTAAATGGAATTTCCTATATTTCCATTTGTGTCCATTGCTTCTTGTCCTTTCATTGGCTACCACTGAGAAGAGTTTAGCTCCATCTTCTTTACTCCTCCTGTCAGGTATTTGTATACACACACACACCCCCTGAAAAGCCCTTCTGATCTCAAGGCCAAACAGTCCCAGCTCCCTTGGCTTCTCTTTCTACAACAGAGGTTCCAATGGAATGTCTCTTACAACCATTGGTTTGTGTTTTATGGGTTGAAACTTTGATTGTTGGACTCCAGTCAGTATGGTCCAACTTCAGGGAAATAATTTTGCAGAAAGTACATTCCAAAGTTTCTGTATCAGATAAATAAAAACCAGAATTTTAGAAAAGTGGTGATGAAGTCAGAAGGATGATGTAATAAAGCTTAGCATAATTTAATTATGCAGCAGTGGAGCTGCATAATTACAGGGTGAAAAGCTGATTCTTATGTTTAGTATTATATTTGTTTTATAAACTGTGTTTATAACTTGGATTATTTTCAGTAAAAATGCAGCTTTGTTCCCCTCACAAGTTTCACACAGATCAAATGTGTTTACACAGAAATAAACTGTAATATTATGTGTCTGAGATGGGCTGTTTAGAAGAACAAAAGCTGTTGGAAGCCTGGAGGGGGAATGAGAGATGTTAATCTAATGTTAGCTGTAAAAGCGAGTTGAAGAGTATGCTACTCCTTGACCTAGAGTAGACATTGTCTTACAAATCTGTAATTTGAATAGTTTAGCCTGGTGCTGCTACTTACTAATACTTTGGTCCAGTAGTTTTATATTATTCTGCAAAACACTGTCATCCCCTTTTAAATGTCTGGTTTTATGCTGAAGAACCTGATTTTACTGTTACCCTTCTACACAGGATGACAAATCAAAAAAGCAGTTCATTTGCATTAATACTCTAGAAGACACACAAGCTGTTAGAGCTGTAGCCTTTCATCCCAGTGGGAGTTTATATGCTGTTGGCTCCAACTCTAAAACTTTGAGAGTTTGTGCCTATCCAGAAGTAATTGACCCAAGGTAAGAAAACTTCTATAATAATTTATTTTTCTGTATCATAGCACTTCTTTCTCCTGTAGCTACTGATACCTGTATATTTCACACCTTTATTTTGTTGTCATAAATGGTGCAGCTTTCTCCTCAGAAACCTGAACTGACAAACAAAAATAAGATGATCTGCTGAAGAGTTGGTGGGCTACTTTTTTGCACTCTTCCATTACTGTCAAGATGCATTGCCACAATACCACACATTTCCTTCTAAAAGCATTATTTTTGTCTCAGCAAGTGGGTTTTTCTATGTTTACCGTGATGGCTTCTGGGTTTTATATTCCAGCTGTAAAACTAGGAGAAAGCATGTGTCAGTTCCCAAGCCAGCACAAGTTGGGCTTCATGAGATGGAGTTTCTGGCAGGAGGACAGACTTAACAGTAGAGAATGCAGTATCTTCTTCAACTTCTACAGCAGAATTTGCCAGAGCATGTCTGTTGGCCCGCTGTTACTATAAACACTGCTTTCCTGATGCTTTGGTTCCTTGACAGGAAAAGCACTATTTGTGGTTTACTGTGCGCCCAGTCTTTCCTATTTTCTTATCACCCATTTTTTTAATAGGAGTGGGAAAAATGTTTTTTTACCTGGAAATAGATATTGCCATCTCAATAACCATCTCCTTGTCTCTGCTCCAAATAATTACATTATTTTCTTGGAGTAGGGAGGAAGTGCAGGCACCTAAAACTTCAGAAGAAGCTACTGTTATGCACAGTGACTTTATCTGGGACACCTTCCCAATTTAAGACTCGTGTTCAGGCTTCCAAAGTGTTCAAAAACTAATCTGATTTTTTTTTTTTCCTCCTTAAATATCATCAGTAAGGTAGTCTTTGAAGTTTAATTCCAAAATATTTATTGGCAGTGTATGAAACAAAAAAATAATTTATTTCTCTGATACTCAGTGCAAGCTGACTTGCTGGGCTTAAAGCCCAGACAACCTCCTCTTGACTGTTAAACAGTGCAAAACATTTTCAGTGCAATGGACACTTTATTGACTAACTGTGGTCTGCTCTCACAAAGCTTGTTGTTCTAACCATTGGGAAAGGTTAGATCGACTCTGCAGCCTTAGTCTCTCATTACAGTGCACGATCTGATGTGACAAGTGACGCAGTGCATCTGGCTAGGAAAGGAATACTGAGATTTCCTTAATTCTGAACTTGTACTACTTCCTCTTACTGTTTTGTTGGGTTTTTTTTTCCCCACTATGCTTACAGTCTGCCAAAAATATTTCATCACGGGATTTACAAGTCAACAGAGAGATTACATTATCTTAAAGATATTCTAATCTTTGTAACAACCTCAGTCTAGACATGTGTTCAAAACGATGTGTTTTTCAAAAAGCTATAATTGTGTAGAATATCTGTAAATACCAGTTGTTTAATTGCACGTCAAAGTTCTGTTGGGATTTTTTAAAGTTTTTAAAATTGTCCTTCAAACTGATGTATGATTCAGGGCAGGTTGGTTTTGGTTTTTATTTCCTTTCTCTAAAGGTATAATAGTAGTGTGCTTCTTTCCATATGTTTGAGATTAAATACTGACAGATACTCATTACAGTGCTGCAGATGTTGTTCAAATAACCACAGTGCTTCCACGCAAATGATTGGCAGCATGTGCTCTCTGTGCTGGGGAGGTGCTCCCACATCCTGACAAAGTCAGTGATTCTCAGCTGCTGCCTCTACCTCCTAGCAAATGTTGTGAATCCAAACTCTGAGTGTGATATAAGGCATTAGGCCATTTAGGAAGCTCTGTAGTGTGTTGAATGGTGATCCTGATTTAGGCTAATCTGTCATGTGTTTCCTCTCTGGCAACAAAATAAAATTAGCTTCCAAGTAGATTTATTTTAGTATTCTTTACTAAAGCCATGTTTATCTGAAAAGTTTTTCAACAGACTTAGATAGCTGCCTTCTGTTTTTTCTCTCTGCCTCTTTTGTTCAAGTATTAATAGTATGGTTTCTGAATTTTTCAATATCAATTTAATTTGTTGAATTTCTGTTTTTGATGTTACTGGAGTGAATGTTGTGGAGTTGGATACAGCACTACTTTATCTTAAGCAGTTAACTACTTCCTGCTATGGGAACACAGAAATAACATCTTAGGAAATTAATTCATTGAAATAGAGGAAATGTAGATCAATGGGACTGCTCCTTTTATTTCAGCCATGTGTAAAGCTGGTTTCTGGTTTCAGAAATAAGAATGTATGGTATGTTTAGATGCTGTGAAGATTCCTGTATTAACATATTATGGTGAATGTATCTTCCTTGCACAGACTGCCATATTAGATTTTCTAGTAGATGAGTGAAGCTGTGAAAGTCACCTTATTCAACAAAAAATATCCAGTGCACGGCTCATAATGATGACCATATATTAGTTTTTTCTTTTATTACGTGTTTTCTTTGTTATTTATTTAATGGCCAAAGAAGAGACAGTACTTGACTTAGGGCAGCATTTTTCTGTGCCTTGCCAGGTAGGGTTAACACAGGAGCATTTTTCTTGAGCCTTTAACGACTTTAAGTGCTTGATGAGTCCCACTTGTTCTGACAGCAAGGATGGCACAGACAGCTACTTTTGGGTAAAACAGCAGGCCTCAATTTTTATTGTTACAGTACTACTCTGCACAACAACAGCCCCAAACACAAGTATATGGAGCCCAGTCATAATTATGCTATCATACCAAATCCTCAGTTAGGGATTAGGTCTGGTGGGTGGGAAGCTGAATGAGAAACACCTTCCTGCACACATACACAGAGGTTACACAGCCTTCTGCTTTCTTCTTTCAGGAATCTGGATTTTCCAACCTGTAGCCTGGTAGCTTAGTCCCAGACCCAGCCTTCAGCCATGCCAGCTGCACTGGGTGCTGCCATAGACAGTGTGTGCCTTAGGAGCTTTCTTGGCCTGCTGTTGCTTAATTGAACTCAAGCACATTCAAAAGTGGCCACAGGATCAAGATGTTGAAGTATGAGGGATTTGGAGAAAAATCCCAACAATTTAGGACTCTGGGGATAAGGTTTCACTGTATGTAGCTAGTAATTACTACATTTTATCTGTTTTCAGCCCTTTATAGATGAAGGGACTGTGTAAGTTCTCTTGCATGTCCAATCACAAGTAGAGTGGGGAGATGAGGAAAAACTGAGAAAATAGGATAGAGAAGATCCTTTTGTTTTGTCTCCAGTCACATGTATGTTTCAATGCAAACAGTCGTATGTATTTCATGTTACCTAAAATAACAGAAAAATGGTATTTTCATTTTAGAATACATTGTTTTCCTTACAAGTAAAAGGAAATTGGATATTCTTTTTCTTTTTTTTTTCAGTGCTTATAACACTCCTAAACAACCTGTAGTACGCTTCAAAAGGAACAAGCATCATAAAGGATCAATCTACTGTGTAGCCTGGAGTCCCTGTGGACAGCTCTTAGCTACTGGTTCTAATGATAAATATGTGAAAGTACTGCCTTTTAATGCAGAAACCTGTAATGCAACAGGTAGTGTGTTTAAACAATTTATTTTCAATTATTTGTCAAATATGTTCAAATTACATTAATTAATTAGTTAATGGGTTTTATTATTTTTATAATGCTTTGATTAACTTAGTCTCTTTTCCCTTTCACCATCACAGTTGTCTCTGCCCAGCAAAGAGCCACCAAGGGGCTGGGGATTATCTTTTGGGTTTGGTTTGGTTTTTTTGTTTGTTTGCATTTTGGTCTTGATTTACAAGACTTTCTGGCATTGTGCTGTCTTCTGGTAGATTTTTTTTTTTCCAGATATGGTAAAACAAACAGATTATGTGCTCTCTCAACCTTGGCTGGAGCTGGCTGTGGAGTCGGTCCGTGTACCTTTTCCAAAGCTTTAGGAACTGTAGCAAGCTCAAGCAATACTCAATAAAAATAAGATTCTTACAGATTTCATTTGAACTCTAGTAACTGAAATAGTGTGTTCTATGGAAAATCCACAACAATGTTTATGCTTGGTAATATACCTGCCCTTGCCTAAAATATTCTGTATTATCACTGTAGCTGCTTTAAAGGTTGCAGGACTATCAGTGATAAACAAAGTATGCTTCATTCTGTTCCTTG